AAAAAAAAAAAAAAAAAAAAAGAATCCTTAAACCTTCTCTTAGCAAGGAACAGGGAGGGAAGTGAGATATTAGTTTATGCTGCTAATCCTTTATTGCCTAAAATTGGCAAAACCCTTGTGATGAAATGCCACGGGCCCTAAAATCATCTGTTGAATTTAGTTTTCAGTATAGTTGACAGGCTATTTATTTCAGAGTGTGTGTTCCTCAGGTATAAAAGGGATGCTACCAGTCTATGTCAGCCTGGCATGAGTTTCCAAACAGCTTTCCAGCAGTGGTGATGAACTGACATGGTTCTTTCACATGTTATCATGCGGTTGTCCTCAGGCAAAAGGTTTGACTTCGTGAAACTCCTGGAGAAGAGAGGGGTAAAGATGTAGCATGTGCTCTTCAAAGGCACAAGTGATTTGTCTTTCATACTAGCAAAGAACTGTAGAAAAGGAGCGGGGTAATTATAGCAGCAGAGCAAGGCAGGTTGGGGCTGATGGATGGCCCAAGACAGTCACATCTAGCTATAATTCAGCAGTTAGAAGGAAGTCATTTCAGAGCCAGAGATCAGAGCATTCACAGAAGCTGGAGGTCAATGCTTGACAGCTATGATCCGTAAATGTCAGGAGACCTTACATCTTATAGGCCCGCCCCATGGAGCAACCAGTCTACCACCTCTAAGTGTGAAATTAATCCATTTCAAACATGTGGTAAGTAGATTGCCTGCATGAGAGGGAAGTGAGGGGAGGGTCCCAAATTCTGTCTCCAATTTTATGCCTCGGCTAAAACCCATGACCATTTTAATCCCAGAACTATATGCTTTTAAGAAAACTAATCAGCCTGAGAGCTAGAGAAGGGCACCATAAAGCAGCAACAACGGCAACAAAAGTTACTGTTTACTGAGTGCTAGCTATATGCCAACACCGATCTAATCATATCTAGTCACATTACTTTCGTTTGTTTAACCCTTAAAAGCACCCTATTACTCATGCTGTGATTATCCTCACTTTGTAGATGGGGAAAGTAAGGCACAAAGAGATTAAGTAACTTACCCATAACCACAAAGTTAGTACGTACGCAAGGGCACAAGGTGACTTACCAGCCTATTGTTGGAAAGGGCACTCTGGTCATTCCCTCAGAGTAATTCCCGTATGATTAGGCCTCCCATGAATACCCATGAGAATTCAGTCAAGCAATAATAGAATAGGAGCAGATTAACTATAGACATATGTAGACATGCAGGTGGAAGTAGAGGTATTTCTGTAATGGTATGTATTCCAGTGCACACCTCCATGACTACTTTAAGATGATGGACATTGTACAATATTTTTATATGACTGTGGTTTGCGGTATAAAGTCACAACAGACTTTGACATGACCCCGCTCTTGTCCTTTAGCTTCTGTTCCAGGTGACTAACCCTGGCATCAAGTATGAGTACACAATCCGGAAAGATGGCCTTGACAATGACGTGGAAAAGCTGGTGTATTTCTGGCAGTATGGCCGCTGGACAGAGTGCAGTGTAACGTGTGGGACGGGTGAGAACAGCTCCTCTCTCTATGAATCCACGTCAGCTTCAGAATAGGCCATGGAGGAAGTTTAAGCCAGCAGTTTGCACTCTCGCCCCTAGGTCTGCAGGGTTCCACAAAGATGGCCCAGGGGCCTCTATGGGGAGTAAATGTGTTGGTCATGGTCTAAGGAAAGAGGCCCTTTTTCTTTTATCAGTTTTACATGCTGTGCTTCGTGAAAGGTTTTGTTTGCAGAAAGGGTTACATGTCTTTTTAAAAAAAGCAGACCAGAAAGGTTTATAACTTCTCTGGTTGAGGACTTGAAGACCACAGAAGTCAAACCACCCACCAGAGGTATCCTTTAAATCACGGCCAAATCCAGACCATAACTGTCTCTCCTAATTCCTAGCCCAGTGTTCTTCTGTCTCCAATTTACCAGTTTTTCATAGCTACAAGAAAAACAGTTTTCTCTCATAAATCAAGCACTGGAGAGGTTCCTTTGCTGTCAAGTGTGTCAGGATGGGACAAGTTCTGCTATGGTAACAAAGAAAACAAAATCTTAAGACCACAATGAAGGTTTATTTTTAACCCAGTCTAAATCTGGCACAGATTAGATGGCCCTGCTTCGTCTTGTAGCTGAGACATCTGAAATTGCCCCACAGGGGAAGGGAGAAATTGAAGAGGCTGACTGGCCCTTAATAACGGCCTTGGCCTGGAGTGACGCCAACCACTTCTGCTCATGTTTCATTGGTTGGCCTCAGCCCTGCGGGCACAATCCAACTGCAGAGAGAGGCTGGGAACTGTAAAGGAGTATGTGCTTGTAGAGTGCGGACTCTTGTGGCTGCAGTGCTAGATGAACATTTCTGGGGCCTCTGGGGGCAGGAGTCAGGGCTGTTCTGGTACTTGGGGCTCTTCACTCATTTGGGGGCTTTAATAGTAGACTCGGCCTCTCTTTCTCCTTTTGGATCCTGTCCAAGTCTGTTCGGGAACTTTCTGCCTCTATTGTTACTGCTGCCTATAAAACTAGGACAGCTATTGGCTGAAGTGCCAGAATCAGCAATGTAGCAAAGGGAATCAAAGTGATGGAGAGAAGGGGTCAGGAGAGCACAGCCTCCACCTCCCTGGCTTCCCTCTCATGTACTTTGCTCCATTTGTTCACTTGCTCCTTCCACCCGCCCACCCCCACCCCCCAGGAAGTAGCCGTGGAAAGAGATCCAGGGACAGACATTGAGTCGTGGCCCATCAGCCTTGTGAACAATTTTCGTATTACTGATTTCTTTCTTTCCCTCCTTCAGTATAGAAAACCAACAGCTCCCTTTTAGAAATCACAGGAATCCTATGTTCATTTCAAACTGTGTGACATCTTGAAAATCCTGAACCTCTGGAAATCTGTCTAGGTCAAATCTGGCAGCAGCCGTAAAGGGCATCAGTAAGAGTCAGCCCTGCTCTTCCCACTGCTGCCCAGGAGGGCTGGGATCTTTTTGCTGAGAAGCAAAAGCAATTTAAGCAGAAAATAAGTAGGTGAAAAATATTTCCCTGAGGAGAAGTTGGGAGGAAAATGAGGTCATCGGGACTGTAGTTCACAAATACTTTTACGATTTTGCATCCCTTTTGTTCTCTTTTTTGCAGTGACGTACAGGTTTAAGCTTTAAGTTTAAATCATTTATTCCAGGACACCACGGAGAGAAACTCAGCCAGTCCTGCCTGAGCAGGGCCTTCTCAGAGAAACACGAGATTATTCACCCTACACCCCCTTCTATTTCAGCATGGGCCGGACCCTTTGCATTGCTTGTGTAGTATTTCAGAGCGTGGGAAATACAATATAAATGGCTGATTTGTGCAGTGATCATAAAGATATATTCGTATTTAGCAAGGAAATGAAACAGCCTTACCAAACAGCGGGCGTTTGGCTTTGATACAACCTGATCCTTCAGGAGCATCTCTGCCTGACTTGGGCAAATGTCACTCTGGTTATTAAACCTTAACAGAAGCTATCATAGTGCCCATGTGCTTACTTGAATTTCAGCCGTGCTATCTATTGGAGTGGCAGTGAGCTCTCTTAATTCTGGCAGAGAAAGATGACAGCATATCTACCTTCACGCTCTCAGACATAGAGAATGAAATGTTAATATTCACATAAGACACCCACCGCTAAATATAAAGATGGAAGACTGCCCGAAACACTGAATCATTCAATGATGTATTTTTATTTCCTTTAAGTTAAAACTTTCTATATTATAAAACTAAGTTAAATATGTTACTGAAAAATTGAAGTCACCACCCTAACATACATGCACTTTGGTACTTTGCTTTATTGCCTTTCAATATTCTTTTCTCTCATCATAGATGTATATAGTTGTGTGCATATGGATGTATTTATATACATATACACATGTTTTCACTTAACATCATAACGTGGGTACCATTCCATGTGTTATTCAGTCTCCATAGCTATCATTTTTGTGGATACATTATATTTCACTGGCAAGACAAAACAAAATTCCCTTAGCCGGTTCCTTATTGATCATCCTCTGATGAGCATCTTTGGGCCCGTGTAAAGAATGATCTCATTAAATTTTAATTTGTAGATGGAATTTCTAGGTTCAAAAAGTAACATACTTATACCAAATGTTAAGAAACTTATTACCACGTTGATTCCCATCAGTTGATTCCCATTGATTCCCAAGGTTACAAACAGGTAGTAGCAATCATTTTATTTTATTTTACTTTATTTTATTTTGTTATCATGTTATTCTAGTTTTACACTTTTTCACGGGAAAATATTACAGAGGCCCCAGCAAAGAGGAGGATGCAATAACAAATTCCTGTAAATCAACCACTCAACTTCATCAGATCTTATTATGTCATGTTTGTTTCAATCTTCATTTTTAAAGAGTAAGAAGTTGCACAAATACACTTGAAGAGCACTGCCTAACTCCACTCCCTTTCCTTTTCCCCCGGAGTTAACTAGGGTCAATGTTTTATTTCCATGTGGGAGAAACACTGGAAGGGAAGGAAAAGAGATAGAAGATCTTGGCAGTGGTCTAGGACAGTAATAATAGTGGCTTGAACTAAAGCTAAGGTGGTACAGATGGAAAAACCATGAAAATGTGGACATATTTAGGAGCTGTACCAGACTGAACTTAATGGTTGATTCCAGTTATCTTTTGATAGAGAGTGGTTTGTGCATGAGGAAGGGTTGAAGGGTGACCCCCCCCCCGTGTTCTCCTTCACATAACTGGCTAAATGGTACTGTCACTCACTGAAACAGGGAACATGTGACAAGAAACAGATCCCAAGAGGAGTTTATGATTATATGAGTTCAATTAAAGTGCCTATGAGATTTCCAGGTGAAAATGCCCAAAGGCAGTAAGTAACATGCTTATTTTAAAAAGTAGGTCAGACTGCCTACCTTTGTCAGTTTGGCTGCTATCACAAAATACCATAGGCTGGGTAGCTTCAACGACAAACATGTATTTCTCACAGTTCTGGAGGCTGGGAAGTCCAAGATCAAGGTGCTGGAAGATTCGGTTCTTAGTGAGAATCTTCTTCCTGGCTTGTAGATGGCTACCCTCTCTCTGTATCCTCGCATCTCATGGGTCTTTTTCTTTTTATAAAGGCATCAGTTCCGTCATGAGGACCTTACCTTCACGACGTAATTACCTCCCAAATGTGCCACCTCCAAATACCATGACACTGGGGGGTTAGGGCTTCAACATATGAATTTTAAGGGGACACATTCATTCCATAGCACTGTCCTAACAAACTTATTTTATCCAGAGTGAACTCCTGTTGTAATTATTTTGTTGCCTTTCTTGGTATTATATTTCTTTATGGATTTTGGAATAGTAATTTACAGGCCTGATTTGAGCGTGATTTCCTTTTAGTTTCTTTTATTTTTCTCTTTCCTGTCCCTTTCCTCCCTTTTTCTCTCTGTGTGCACCCACTCTTTCTAGTTTTTGCAGTTTTTTCATGACCACACCATGGGACCTCATTTCAGGACAGGACTTGCTAAGGTGCTTCAAAATTGCCTCTCCTAGTAACATTGAAAATACATTAGGAATTATCACAGAGCCAGTCTGGCAGATTGAGAAGCTGAGTCCTTACTTTGCAACCTTCCTAGGCCTGAAAGTCATCAAGAGTTAAGGCTCTAAGAAGTTTGTGGTGATGGTGGTCTCCTTCCCATCTCAGGCGGAGCAGTTAAAGCCCTCATATTTCATGGGGGCTGCGCACATGGCCACCACCCACCAACAGCTTCTGGCTGAGAGCCCGGCAAACCCTTCACCTAAGTCCTGCTCACCCTTTTGCTGGGATGTTTACCTACATTTAAGCATTGTGACATTTTGGTCTTCCCTTTTTATATAGTTATAATTTAATATCTTTTATAATTTATAATTTACATTGTGCATTTGGAGCAAAGAGCTGCGTACGTATAAATTCAAGAAGATGGGGCTTCCCTGGTGGCGCAGTGGTTCAGAGTCCACCTCCGATGCAGGGGACATGGGTTTGTGCCCCGGTCCAGGAAGATACCACATGCCGCGGAGCGGCTGGGCCCGTGAGCCATGGCCGCTGAGCCTGCACATCCGGAGCCTGTGCTCCGCAACGGGAGAGGCCACAACAGTGAGAGGCTCACGTACCGCAAAAAAAAAAAAAAAAAAAAAAAGATGTAATCAGTCATTGGCTTCTTATCTAGATGAAGGCTTTTGGAGGAGAATCAAAACAATGAGTTCCAAGGGGAAGATGAAGCTCTGCCTCCGCTGGCTCAGTCCTGACCCTGCCAAAGAAGAAGGGCCCGGTGGGGCTTTGCCTGTGCCCGTCCACCCAAGGCTGTCACACGTCTCTAAGTCAACAGCCCTCCCCTTCCCAACCAGGCAGCTTGTGTTTACAATCAGCTTCTTCTAGCAACTTTGTATCTGTTTGCTTCAAGAGAATATTTTGCCTCCACATATGCACCCCTTCTCCTTTTTTAAAGCATGGATTTAAATGAAGATGCCTTCAGGAATGAGGACAAAATGAGTATATTTACAGAA